GCAAATGTCTCCTCATAATCAATGCCATACTCTTGTGTATAGCCCTAAGCCACAAGTTGAGCTTTGTGTCGATCTAGAGAGCCATCAGATTTCAACCTAATGAAGTAGACCCACTTGCTCCCAATAATAAAGCCATCTAAAGGAGGCTAAGGAGCTAGGACAAGGTCACAGGTGTCGTTCTCGTGCAAAGCTTGAATCTCTGCATCCATGGCACCTCTTCACTAAGGACTGCTAATGGCTTACTGGTAAGAGCGGTGAATATCTGTAGAAGACAAAACAATAGAAAAGGAGCTATGTAAGGAAAACCATAGCAATCAAGTGGTCTAGAGATACGAGAAGAATGATGCAAAGGAATAGAAAGAGAAACAAAGGGATCACAAACAAGAATGTCAGTTACAGGGTTGTCTGAGATTGACGAATGATCTAGACCGAGAGGATGGGGGTCGTAGGCACAGCAAGCACTAGACTACGAACTCACTTGCGAGAAAAGACGAGAAGATCCTTTACAGCAGTTAAAAACGAAGCATCCAGTGAGTCAAAGTCATACAAAACAAAAATAGAAGGTGCTAATAACATGGCTACTCTCAAGAAGAAAGAGATATGCTCAAGAAAAAACACATTCCGAGAAATATGAATATGACGTGCAGAGAGATCATAACAAAGAAATCCCTTGTGGTTATGATTGTATCCCACAAAGGCACACATGACAGATTGAGTTGAAAGCTTGGAATGTTCACGAGAGGGAAGATGTACAAAACATAGATATCCAAAAACATGAAAATGGAAAAGATCTAGAGGGCAGCCAAACATTTTGTGATGAGGAAACATGTTACCAAGAACCGATGAAGGAATATAATTAATTAGATACACATTCATACTACTAGCATGACTGAGGCACATGTGACTCTTGTGAAAGAGTCCTCACAACACTTAGAACAATCATTCTTCTTTTCTGCCTCATCATTTTGCTAAGGAGTGCTTGGACAACACCGTTGAAATTGCATGCCATGATGTTTCAAATAAACCAAAAATTCTCCATCACTATATTCTCCCCCTAAGTTAGAATGTAAAATCTGTACACTTGATTGAAACCAAATTGAACCATAGCATGAAATAACCGAAAGGTTGGAAAGACTTATGACTTGTGTTTAACAAAGTAGATCCAAGTGTACCTACTATAATCGTTAATGAACAATACAAAATATTTGTATCCCAATCGTGAAACAATAAATGAAGTCCATACATCACTATGTATGATTTGAAAAGGTGAAGTAACGTGTTCAGCTTTGTGAGTAAATGGAAAAATATGACTCTTACTCAAACAACAAGAAACACAAGATGTATCAAAAGTTTTCACAGAGGGAATTTTAGTTCTAATGAAACCAGACTTAAACAAAAGTTTAACTTTCAAAGTTTGGGTGACCCAAACATTTATGCCATAAATCCCAAACATTATTTCTTTAACCCAAATCAAGATTCAGTGAAGAAGAGCTCAAATAAGCAGAGGATGGTGCTGATTGAGATTTCTCAAACTCCAATGCAAACAACGGCCCAAACTATGCCCCTTCTCTTTCACCTTCCCAGTGCATTGGTCCTGAATCAACCAACCATCAAAGGAAAAAGTTAGAATGTGACCTTCATTGACCAGTTGACCAACTGAAATAAGGTTAACAGTAAGTTTAAGAACAAAGGTCCAAGTGAGGGAAAAGGAATTTGAAGGTGAGAGTTTGAGACACAAATCATCACTCCCAATGATATCCAATTTCTCAACATTAACAATGACAATATGTTTATGGTGGGTCACTGGGTCTCAGAAAATTTGTTTGCTGGTTCAGGGTAGGCTCCATCCATATGATTCGTAACACTAGAATCAATTATGTAAACATGAGAGGGAGAAGTGCAGTAACTAGAGAACTCACCAAATAGGCCAATAGCAGAAAAGGTAGATGAGATAGCAAAGGATACCAATTGTCATAGCTCTTCCTTATTCGTGGGAGCAGAAGATTCACCTTTGGAAGTAGAGGCATCGATCATCTGTCCCTTAGACACCTAATAAGTTCGTGGCTAATTCTTCTTCATAGTACTCTTGGAGGGATGAACTAGGCAATCCAAAATGATATGACCATGTTGTTTACATTAAGTGCAAACATTCTTCTTACAGTGTGAAGCTATGTGTCCAAACCCTTTACATTCATAACATTGGGTTTTAGAAAGATCCTTTCCACCAAATTTCTTACTCTCTTGTGCAAAAAAAAAAAAGGTATCAGCACCTGAATCAAGTTGCTTCCCCTCCATGTTTGCAACAATGATGAGTCTAGTTTCTTCCCTCAACAACTCTTCCATCATAGAATCAATATCCGAAAGGGTGCCTCTACTCAAAATATTAGACCTAAACTCATATCCAGGTCTCAGTCTCGTAAGGAATTTGTTCACCTTCCTCTTCTCAAAATGTTGTTGCAGATACTTAACACACTCAAATGAATCTGATGGGTCAATGTAAACCAGTTCATATTCTGCCCATAAATCAATGAAACCCGCATAATATTCCTATATCCTTTTATCACCTTGGAAGCAAGCAAATATTTCATACTCAATCTGATATTGTCTTGATAAGTTGGATTGGTGATACTCCTTTTTCAAATAGGAATGCATTTCATAGGTTGTTTGCGGTCTTCTCATGGGAACAACAATGTGTGGTACAATGGAGCTTAGAATCCAGGAGACTAATTTCCCATTGTTCAACTTCCATTGTGTAAAGGCTTTAGTGTCTGTTTCATCATATTTACAAATAGTCCCATTCAAATAGCCTTCCAGTCCCTTTCCCTCAACAAAGAAATCGAAATGGAACTTCATACTGTAGTTGGTTCCATCAAATTTCACAGAAATAATATCTATCTTTTCAACCATCACAAATAAATAAAAAACAATCCAGAGAGTAAAGTAGCAGCACTGATATTTATATTTCAAGGTTGTTAACCACTTTACTTGATTCAGCAACAATTTAAATACTAAAAGTAGTATCACAGCAATCAAACACAAGATTTTCTCCGAAAAAAGCACTTGACAACAAGGCTGAAGTAAACATTGCAGACAAACAGCAGCAAAATCAGGTCCAGAAGATATATATGATCAAACAACTTCAGTTGGACAAGTAGCAAAGAAGAGCCACCCTATAGAGGAATCGATATCCTCTAAGAAATTACCCAGAACAACACCAACCAGGCAGTATACAATATTGACAATCCAAACCCAAGTGTTTCAGGACTGTTGAGCTGAGGAGAGGATTAAATACCCTCCAAAACTGATTACAAACTTCTACCAAGCAACTGAAAAGTGAGAATACCCTAGGACAGCACCAAACCTAGGGTTCCAAGGATAATCAACAATCGATTGAGAAAACAGAGGGATTCACCAACCTGATATGGAAGTTTTCCAGAAAGGGGATTACTCTGTGCAGTTCAAATCAGCCACCAAGTGATTTTAGACGAGCAGCTTAAAGAAGAGCAATGTATGTCTAGAGAAACTCCTTAATCAGAAGTAACTGCAGCCAGAAATGGAGTGCTCGAAGCTTGCATGAATACTTGGGAATGAACCAGTCCAAAGAGGCAAAGAGTGAAGAAGAAACCTGTTGCCAACCTGGAGAGAAGATCAGAACTCCTCCAAAGCTTGTCAAATCTCAAAGAAATTTTCTAAGCGAGTAAAACTGGCCTAGGCGACACAGCCAATCAAGTTTCACTTCAAGCAGATGCCTTCCAAGAGAGTTCTAAGAATATTTCTCTTGCTGAAATCGCAGAACAGAGTGACCTAGGGTTAGGGTTGATCAAAACAACCCTATCTTCAGTCAATTCACCCAGAAATCAACAACCCTTGAGAGACTAATGAGTGAGCATGGAGCAAACACAGATTATAGAGCAACCCGCTTTGATACCATGTCACACAAGCAGTTCATACAAGAGAAGAGAAGACAGAGGTCTGGGGTGAAAACTGAATCAATCAACCCCACCCCAAGAGCCAGAATATGTGTGTGAAATATGAATATTTACAAAAAAGCCCTTACAGGGCTAAAGAAGAAAATAACAAGAAAATAAGAGATACGATACAACAAGGACTACAGTAATATAATACATCATCGGGACTCTTCACAAGTTTCGGAATATTTTTCCACTCTATGAGTTCTTAGGGAGGAAATTGATCAATATGAGATAGTGGTATGGAAAGATCTCGATGATGCCAAGCAGTGCCACTGCCATAAACTTGTTGAGAAGAACCATGCCACTGAATTCCTAGCTGGACTTAACATGAACTTTGATATTACTACACAGCAAATTCTTAGGATGTTTTGTCACTTTCTCAGGTTAATGCTCTTGTATAAGTGGGAAAGAGGGGGAGAGAAAAAAAATAGGAGTACTGTGCTTCAGACTTCCACAATAGATCACTCTGCCTTGGTCTCACAGTAGCAGTAAAAGCCAGTCACAAAGATATACATGTATCCAGATAATGAGATATCATAGTTGATAAATGATGCTAGTTTGATTCACAACATTTTCCTCTTCTCAGAAAAATGAAAATTGATCATTTTGGTGCAACATCTTACTGGATTGCCCAGTGATTGGCTAATGAGAAATGAAGGATTATAGCTTGAGGAAAGCTCAAAGTAAAATTCAAGAGGTTGCAAAACATTACAAGTTCAATAGTTGCACATCTAGTAGTTCAACCAATGAGCTAACATCTGGAGTCTCAACTAATATAGAAATTCTAATTTAAAATCTATCCTGCATCATAGAAATGACAACCTTGTAGCAACAATGCTTGAACCTGAGTAAACATAATTGCATTTCAAGACTCATACAGCAAACTTTGAGGGGGTGAGGGTTAACTTCTAAAGGTTACTTTATTAACATTTATAAGGTTCATACCCCATTTCATCAGGCAGTTATGGTAAATGAAGATTAGACAACACTCCTTAGAAAGCAAAAACATCAGAGCAACAGAAAACCAACCTCAAGAGAGAAAGCGCGTTCTGTCCATTCCAAGATATGCCCATATTGAGCACTCAGCCAATCAAGAATAATTGGACCAGAAATTTCATCAATCTGTGCACAAATGATGAAGTCAAGCAACTAATCCTGATTCAGTCTTTGACTATATCTATAAGATGTCCGAATAGATAAAACAATGATATTCCAACCAATACAAGTAAACCAGATACTGGACATTTGAAAAATGGAAAAGGAATTAGCTGCACAGAAATTCTAACATAGACAAATTTGGTGAGTGCTTGGTAGAAAGCTAAATCAATTAAAACTCTCTCAAGTTACAGAAGGAAAATGTAAGGGATTTACAAATTGACAGTGAATGACTGTGTTGCATGTTTTGTTTTTGGTTCTCTTTGTCTTTTGCATGAAACTCAAAAAGATCAAAAGAGTATGAGCATGGAATGGAACCCCTTTGTATATATGTTCCTAAATGTCATATGGTGGAGCTTTGGAACGTTGGTTTAGGAAATTAGGCATAAGAAGATGCTGGAGCTTGGATAAAAATGAGATAAAGAGATATTCATTTCAAGCACTAAGAAATGTGTAAAGATGTGTTTTGGCCGATATGTTCTTGGCAAAAGGTCTCCAACCTGATAATGCTTCATGTCCTTGGTGAAAGGGGAATTAAATTTATCTTCTCCAGATGCCACATAACACAGCTGAGTTAGGAGGTTATCTAACATATTAGCTGCAGGGAGCACCGATCTAACATCTTCTGTAAGAAGTGATACTCCGTCAAGGAATGGCTTCTACAAATCAACAAAAGCAAATCCCAATTACAATAAGATTTATATGGAATTGGCCTCTAAAAAGTAATAGCCTGGACGGACAATAAAAGATAGAGATAGTAATTATAAACAAACCACTCTTGCACCATAAAGTTCATGCAGCATCATAGAGGAGATGATCCCAGCTTCAGGAAACCACTGACACAAGACAGGGCTAAACACAGAAGATTCTCTCTCAACAATAATCTTTACTTCATCAGCAAGCACAGCAAGAGGATGCTGCCTCTGTACCTTAGATTTGGCATCCAAGGTATCAACAACCTAAGAAAATAAAAAAAAAACCTTAAATTAATTTATTTAACAGTTCTCAGTAAGTTATTTGAAGAGTAAAATAGCAGTAGATGGCATGACTAACCCGCTTATATGCAGCTTGAATTGACTTTTCAACATACTCTTTGAAGTACCTAGAAGCCATCTCACTCCTGCGACTAGGTTTAATTAACTGCAAGTATGACAACATGGATGTCAAGCTATATAAGGACAGCTCAGATGAGTATTTCTACTGATCAACATGGCAGTAAAGATCAACATGTGTAGGGTTTTAAGAACAATGAGAACATCACTCATTGTGAATTAATTCAACAAAATATACATATCCTTTCCTGCATGGCTTTATTGCTCTATTCAACAAAAATTTTGGTAGCAAGGTGTTCTTTGCATACAAGGTTATACTTGAAACATTTGCAGTTGCAACCCCCCTATGACCCTTTCTTAGCAAATGTCTATGGTATATCTGCATAATCCCATCTTTGTATACCAGCGGCTAATTCAACCATAACTAGTGGCTAGATCAAGCAAAAGATCAATTTTTTTCTTCTCATTAATTCAATTAAAATGCTATTTACTTTTTTCACATATTTACCAACTCCTAAAACCCTTTTGAATTTCTATTTTACACTATGAGCTTCTGTAATAATGAGAGGAGTGTTTTAGGAATGCAACATGGTTTCTTCTTTGTAACCCTTGATGAAATTGAAATCCAATTTATATAAACTTTCAAAATAAATTGATCACAGAAAATAGCTGCATTGCACATGTAGGAATATGAGCATAATCCCCCAGGGTTGTACTCCTAACAAAGTAAGGTTGGTTAAGCCAAGGCTTAGCTACTCTAAAGGGATTTCTAGCACACTACTATACATTTTTTTGGCAATATACTTCCTAATAAACTGTTCAACTGTTGCTGATAAAAAATACAAGTAAATGTCAGTTAGGGTGCTCATCAAAAAACGAAAACCCGAAACTGAAGGAAATTAAACCAAAAAAATCCAGTTAACCCAACTAATCGATTTGGTTCAAATTTCAGTATTTTTCAAAATCCAAAGGTACCAGTTCGGTTTCGGTTAACCTAAAAGAACGACCAGTAGGAACAATGCAAGTGCCCTCCAAGTTTTTCCAAACAGTCCAAGAGCAAGCTGCCACAACCTAGAGGTGTAGGAACAATGCAACATAAGGTGATTAGTACTTTCCCCACTCTTCCAACAAAGAACACACACACATGAGGAGAAAGATCCCAGAACTTCCATCTTCTTTGAAGTTTATCACAGGTGTTTATAACTTGGTTGACAGCCTCCCAACAAAACATCTTGGCTTTAGGAGGGATAGGACCATACCAAGCCCCTTTGAAGGGAAAAGGTTCGTTTTCAGGAGGTGGCTCAAAAGTCTTAAAGAAAGAAGCACAGGTAAAGTTGTCCATTGTGGTTGGTGCCCAAAACCTTTCATCATTTCCATCCAAAGAAAGGTTGACTTCCTGAAATATATCCAACAGGGAAATCAACTTGGTTGCTTCAGAATCCCTCAACAGCCTTCTTAAACCCAAATTCCACACTCCACCATTTTCCCCCAGAGTGACCAATTCAGCAATTGTCTTCTTTTCCAGGGTTGAAAGGTTATAAATTCGGGGAAAGGACTAACACAAAGCACTATTTCCCCACTAAATATCTTCACAAAACTTCACCTCTTGTCCAGATAATAAATCAAATCTAACGTGCTGCATATAGGTAGGGAGTAATGCCACAATTGACTTCTCTAAGGACTTCTTAAAGTTGCACCTCTAGCTGAACCAGAGTCCCAACCATTTGGTTGCAGCCCATAAATGCTCCAAATCACCAAATGCTATGAAGCCTCTTTTTTCCTTGGGAATCTCCAAAGCCACTTCCATAACAAAAACACATTCCTATCCTGGATCCTTCCAACTCTAACCCACCCAAAACCTTTGATTTGCACACTTCTTCCCACCTCAAAAGGTAGCCACTCTTATTCTGGCCTGGGTCCCACAAAAAGTCTCTTATTAAATTTTCAGCTCTCCTTACAACTCTCACTAGGGCTTAGGGGTGGCAAATGGGTGCGTTGGGTTGGGTTGGGTAAGGGTTGAATACCAACCCACCCATATTGACCCACCAACCCACCATGACCCATCACCAATCCTTGTTAAAGGGTCATAACCTACCCAAACTCTAACCCACCCTGACCCACTTGACCCATCCATATTGACCCTTAACCACCCTCACCCATACTAACCCACCTACCCTCACTTATAAATACAAAAATGGGTCGAGATGGCCCATATACCCAAAATAATAAATTCTGAGAGAATAATCTCTCAAGACTGCCACGTGAAAAAAACAAGTCAGGTCAACCCGTATACCTAAAAATGCAAAAATTGTAGATAAATGCAGAAAATAGTAGAAAATTGCAAAAATGCAAAAAAAAAGTCAAAATTTTGTAGAAAATTACGAAAAATACAACAAAAATACTAAAATATTACAGAAAATTCAGAACTTTTGCAGAAAAAAATACCAGAAAATTGTAGGAAATGCATGAAAAACACTAAAAAAGTAAAATTTATGCAGAAAAGCACCAAAAAATTGTAGAAAATGCAGAAAAAATACCAAAAAATTACAGAAAATGCAGAAAATAACAGAAAATTTGCAGAAAATGCAAAAAAAATGCACCACTTTTATAAAAGTGCTTTCGCAAAAGTACTTTTGTGAAAGTACTTCTACAGAAGTACTTCTGTAAAAGTGCTTGCATAAAAGCACTTTTATAAAAGTGCTTTTATGCTTTCATAAAAGTGTTTTCGTAAAAGTACTTTCATAAAGTGCTTTCGTGTAAAAGTGCTTTTTTTTATCAATATCGTGTAAAAGTGCTTTTGTAAATGTACTTTCGTAAAAGTACTTTTATAAAAGTGCTTTTGTGTAAAAGTACTTTCGTAAAAGTGCTTTCGTAAAAGTCATTTTCATTAAATTGCTTTTTGTATAAAATTGCATGTGGATACAAAAGTTAATAAAATCTATTTTATTTCACTTTTAATCTCAAAATGAAATGTGCCATGGTGGTTCAAAAGTGTAATGAGATGTGGGCACACTAGGAGGCCTGAGTTCTAATCACTGCAACTTCTATTTTTTGAGATTTGGCGAGTATAGATAGAGTTGACTTTGACCCACGCGACCCAACCCATCCTGACCTTAATGGGTACCCTCGATCCAACCCACCCTGACCCCTTTCCATTGACCCTAATGGGTTACTCGACCCATATTGACCCACCAATAGATTGGGTGGGTCAAATGGGTTGGGGTCAAGATTGGCAGCCCTACTAGGGCTTTAAAATTTGACAAGAAATACACCAGAAGGGTGGACGAGGTTGACTTTATTAAAGTGAGTCTCCCTCCTTTGGAAATATAATTCTCTTTCAATGAAGCTAATCTTTTGACAAAACATTCAATGACACCATCACAAAAAGTCACCCCTCTTGGGTTGTCCCCCAGCCAGGAATCCCCAAGTACTTAATTGGTCAATCTCAAATTTCACAACCTAAGACAGTAGCTGCCTCCTCCATCACTCCCCTCTCCAACCATATATGCGCCAACCTACATTTCCCTAAATTGGCCTTCACCCCATTACCCTTTCAACTATCTCCAAAATTTGGCCTTCACCCCATTACCCTTTCAACTATCTCCAAAATTTGTCTCAACGCTGTCACATCCTGAATACCCCTGAATTCCCCAAAAATCAAAGTATCATCTACAAGCAAATAGGAAACCACTTGGTTCTCCTCCCCCACTCTTAAACCTCTAAAAATATTTTCTTCGCCCTCTTTAGAAGTTTACTAAAAATCTAAACCACCAAGGTGAACAACATGGGGAGACAAAGGGTTTCTTTCTCATAAACCCTTGGAAGCCTAGAAGAAACCTCTAGGGGAACCATTGATGATAATTAAGAAGCATGTATTCCTCAAATAATCCATCATCCAATTAACCCACCCAATTTAGATTTGAAAAGATGTGGTTGGAGGACTCAAGTTTTCTTGAAAAAATTAAAGGATAGTGGATGGATAGTGGAATCAATATCAATAAAAGGGGGTAAGATCAGTGTTTTAAAAGCTCAAGGCACAAAAAAAAAAAAAAAAAAAAAAGCGCAAGGGCCAATTTGCACCTAAGGCGCAAGGCAAGGCACGCGCCTTTTTAA